TATATATGGATATATCTAGACAGAGATAAATCCATGTCTGTCTATATTTAGATATATATCTCTAGAAAGACAGAGATATCTCTCTATATAAATCTTTACATAGATACATATGTATATATATATATATTTTGGTTTTCATTTCCAGCACAACCTTTAGGGCATTTGTGGGGCTTTTTTGCCCACATCCCTGGATGTGGCCACCCACAGCATCATCCAGGACGAAAATGAAATGAAGGATTTGGGGTTTTCCCCTGGGATTGCCAGGGAATGCAGTCTGGTAGAGGGAAAAAAATCACCCTGCAAGACTGAGTTGGGGGTAGACGTGGTGCTGAGGGGTCTGCAGAGCCCCTGTCCCTCCCAGCTGGGTTTGTAATGAGTTAATGCCTATTTTTTTTTAAGGAATTTCAGCTTTTCCTGGGATGGGTCCAGTCAAACCCCTCCAGCACCTCCTGTGGCACCCCAGCTCTGTTTATCTGTAGGACCTACCTGAAGAGCCAGTGTCAAACGTATTTATTTTTGCTTTTATTTGTGGTACAAAGACCCCCATTTGGGGGGGGTGGGATCAGTGCCACCCCCAGAGAGTTCCTCAGGTCCGGAGCCTTCCTGAGCAATCCCTGAGCCTGATCCTGCACCCCCCAGGGAGGGGCTGGGAATGGGACTGCCCCCTACCCCCTGGCCTTTTTGGAGGGACAGGGGTGGGTTGGGGGGATTTTAAAGAGGGTTTCTGTGTCTCTGGTTGCCTCTGCTCGTGCCTGTGTCCCCAGCTGGAAGCTGTGACCCCCCCCCAGCCCAGCCAGGGTGCGATGGGAAGCACGTTTAACTATCCCAAATGCAGCAGCCAGGAGAAAAATAATGGGTTTTTTTCCTCATCCCCTATTTTTTAACGCCCAGCAGAGCCACTGGGCTGGTATTTTGTACTAAGAAATCACCTATTTTTGAAGGAAATAAATGTGGTTGGATGACCTTGTGTGCTTATTTTCCTTTCCAAAGCCGTTTCTCGGGGGGAGTTTTGGCATCACCACGCCAGGATCCCTCTCTTGGAGGCGTGTGGGGCTGGGGGGGGTTATTTCCCTACATCTTTTCCCTGTTTTCCTGGCCCCCAATGAGTGGCACAGCACAGCCCCAGTTGCACTAGGGATGGAGATCGCTTTTATTTAGTCACTCGAGTGCTTTAGTACAGAAGAACAGATATACAGAGATGATACATGTTTGTGCTTCAACACTTTCAAACATTTAGATTCCAGTAATTTCAAGGTAAACAAGTTCCAAGACAGACTAGATTATTTTTTTTTTTAAAGTTTTCCTTTTTGATAAATTATTTTTTATATAAATAACTGTAACAGAAAAAAAAATAATAATAATTATAATAATGTCCAACATACAAGATCCTGAAGCGTTTGCATTGCTAAACCAAGAAGGAACAAAAACGGGCTGGGAGGACCGAGGGGGGAACCAACAAATATCAGTGCAATGATACAGCCTTTGCCCTAAAAATATATATTTAACTTTATGGGCAAGGAGCAGACAGGGAGGGAAGGGGGGGCTAACCACCAACGAGGCAAGAAAGAGCAATTTGGGGGAAGGAAGAGGGGGGTCACAGCCTTCGGGGGGAGAGAGAACAAAACCATAGACCCCAAAATATTGCAGTGCATCTAATGGCAGGGGAAGGGGGGGCAATCCAGGGGGTGGGAAATAAAAAAAGCCCAACTAAAATCAAGAGGTTTGGGGAAATCACTATACACCAAGCTTGTAAGAACGTCACGAGACACAGTCATTAATATACACAGAGTCCAGAGGGTTTTGGGGTGGGCCCAGAGGGGTTTGGGGTGGACCCAGAGGGTTCGGGGTGGGCCCAGAGGGTTCGGGGTGGGCCCAGAGGGTTCGGGGTGGGCCCAGAGGGTTCAGGGTGGGCTCAGAGGGTTGGAGAGACCTGGAGGGTTTAGGGGAGTTCAGAGGGTTTGGAGTGGGCTCAGAGGGTTGGGGAGGCCCCAGAGGGTTTGGGAAGGGGGCCCAGAAGGATTTTTGGGGGGGGCCTCGGGGCGATGGCAGGCTCAGAAACGCTTCACCACGGGACGACACGAGTGGGGCCGGGCACGGGGCACTGAGCTTCCTTTGGGATGGATGGAGAGGTATCCAGGGGTAGATATTCTATATATATATATATAAAAAATATTTTATATATATATATATATTTGAAGGAGTCCCCAGAGAGGAGGAGGTCAGGCTGAGCAGGGCAGAGCAGTGGCCGTGCAAGCGAACGAGCCCCATCTCCAAGTTTTGACCGTTTTGGTCCCTTTTCACATGGGAATTGCCACAGCGTGGAGTGTCCCGGCTGCACCTCCCTCACACCCCCACCCACCCCTGGGCACAGCTGGCAGGGGCTCCCACCACCCCAAAAAGCCATGGGACAGCAGGTGGGGGGGGGGACCCCCCATCCTGCGCCAGCTGGAGTGATGTGGGGTGCCCGTCCATCCATCCTTCCACCCCCACAGGACCCCAGTGAGGAGCAACTTCCCCCAAAAAACGGTGTTTTCCCACTATTTTCCCACCATATTCACTAGCAATGGGCAGATGGTTACTCAGCAACGAGCTCCTGGGTGCTTCCCACGGCTGCAGCTACAAATATATAGATTTTTTTTTTTTCCTTTTTCTCTTAAACACAATGCATCCATTTTCTTAATATATATATATATATTATTTTTTTTTTTGGCTGTTGTCCCCTCCCTGTGGATAAAATGAGATGGGGGTGGGGAGGAGGCAGCGGGAGGGGAGGGGAGGGGTCAACACAAGAACAAGAGAGAGAAGCTGTGCCCGCTGGGTGCAGGGTGGCACCCGGGGCCGGGCGCCCGGCGGGGACGTGGGTCGGCATCGAGTGGTGACGGCGTTTCCTTTTAACTGCTGCTCTCTTCCTCTGTTTTATTGAGTTTCTTCAGCGTGTCCAGCAGTTTCTGTGGGGTGAGGATGTGCGTGGACCCTGTGGGAGCAGAGGAAAAGGGGTGTGGGGGGGTGAGGAATCAGTGATGGGTTTGGGACGCCTCCCCCTCCCCGTTCCCGCTGTCCCGGGCCCCCCTTACCTGGCGGCGGCGGCCCCGCGCCGCTGGAAATGCTTGCGGGGAAATGCACGTCTGTGGGGAAGGGGAAGGGGCGTGTGGGGGCGTGGACAACGGGAAAGGGGGGGAGAGGGAGGGATGAAGGCGATGGATGGAGCTGGCGGGACGGGGAGGTGCCTGTGCAGGGGGGTCGTGGCAGCGGGGTCACTGCTGGAACCTTCGGGGATGCAGGAGGGCGAGGTGGGGGATGTGGGTGGGCAGCGGGGAGCAGCTGGCATGGAGCGACATTCCATAGGTCCCCAGGGAGCAGCAGGCATGGAGGGTCATTCCACAGGTCCCCCAGCCTGCAGGGAGCACCCTGGGATCAGAGGGGTGGCTGGGAAGGGGACGGGTGAGAGGCGAGGAGGAAAAGGGCTCTTGCCTTCTGCTGCACCCACCACACTGCCCACGCCAGCCCAGCACACAGGGGATGCCACGGGGAGTCTCACCAGGAAAACCACCAGCAGCTAAACCCCAGCAGAAGGTCTGGGGGTCTACAACCTCAGGGGGCTCCTGCCCATCCAAGGGGTTCAACTGCCACAAGAGCAAACCTGAGCTGCCTGGGGATTCCAGCCCTGCAGCCACGGCAGCGCCCAGCCTGTGCTGGGGTCTCCACCCTGTGCCCATTGCTGCCTGCTCTTCCCCGGGCACTCAACCCCCTGCCCTGCTCCAGCAGCAGCATCCCGGGGTGTTCCATCCCCCTGCCCGGCCCTGGGACACCTCCCTGGGCAGGCGGGACCCCGACCCGCCGCCCCCAGCCCTGGCGAGGGGGGGACTGGTGGCATGAAGGAGCCGGCCAGGCCCGGC